TCTTCAGTAACCCATGCTTGTCGTAAGAGGCGACTAACGGGATCGGGTGGTCAGGTTAGCTGACTTGGTTGACACATGTCATCGGTTCCCAATTGCGCAGATCGAAGCTCATGCTGTTGATCACTGGATCGCCTGGTCCAGACTCGATTATTTGCAGACAGCCGCCATATAGCTGGAATATTGCTGAGTGCGGCGTAAAACTAAACTCACTCACTCACTCACTACTATTTGTGTGTAGATGTATGTGTATGAGGTCATGCTATGCGTGATTGGACACCACTCCTACTCTCAATCAACTTAACTGAACAATATCAGTTTCGCGTGCCTTCAATACAACTTAAATTATAATGTCCAAACTACTTCTTCAAATGTATGAGGACAAAATTAGATCCTGCTTCAAGATAATTAAATTGTAGATTTTAAACAACTCAACATGTTTCAATAGTTGGAATATCAACGTTTGTCTACCTCTCTACTTATATACTTATCTCTCTACAATATTTCAATTATGTCACGAAGTGTAATTTTGATCGGGGAGAAGTAGGTGAAACCCATGACCACGGAATGATGAAAACCTAGGAACATAATGCGAATCAGGATTCGAACCTTCTGAAGTGCCCAAGGGACGCAACTTTCCACACCGAGTTGCGACGTCTTTGACAACTGTGTTACTCGTGCCATCAATTACATCAGATCATTGGTGTGTACAAGATACTGCGTGAATGTTTTCGTCATCAAAACGTTTAGATTTCGATATTGTATGTTCTCTATTAGAATGTGATGATTTGAAGTTGCATGAAATGTTTAAGTTATGAAACTGTAATCACCAAACTCTTAAAAACTAAGGGAATGAGGTATGTTGCTATAAGCTGATATGTTGTGGCAGCTATCATTATCTTCCATCAACATGACCATCAATTTATTGTTATTTTTTGTTTCCTTAACTTGTTTTTAAACAACATATCCTTGAATGTAACTTACGCACGTTTCACAATACAAAACAGTGTTTTCCGAGGTCGATTGTCATTGGGCAAAAGACAACGCCATTTGTGATAAGTCAGCGTCACGGCGGTTGAAGGAAAACAGATCATGACTCGAAGAAAAACGTGTCTTTGATGGAAGACATGCTGCACCTGATGATGATCATTTGTCTGGAATGTCCGTAGTTTCCCCAACATTTTCTGTTAATTTCATGGTCAGTTTCGTTCCTGTTGTTTAGATCAATATATTATCTACCAGTCCCCGGCTTATGGCGTCTACATTTCGTAGTTGCTTAGCAACATTTGAGAATGTATGTCTTATTTATATTTCAAGGATAGGCTATTGGCTTACAGCTAAGCATTTCAATCAACAATTCGCTCTTAGCTGTATGGTTTGCTGATTTAAAAAATTGTATATTAAAACGAAATTTACTTGTTTTGTCAAGTCGCTTGTCAAAGTGATGCGCGGAACTATGCCACGATATAGCTAGACAAATGCCTAGTCTATGAATATATAAAATTTGGATAGCGATAAATTCTTTTAAATTGAAAATGAATCTCGGTGAGAAGGCAGAAGAACCTGATGAAATGTTGACGTGCTTCATTCAGGGTTTTAACATTACACAATGGGCTAGGCAGAAAGCACAATAATGTGGTTCAGGGACTGTGTGACTGTGTATTTATTAATGCAAACTGATGCCCCCATTGTACGCTTTTTACAAAACACCCGGTTGTTATGACGAATTTTCAGTGATTCATTTCGCTGTATGAAATATGTCTCGGTAGATACTCAGTGGTTGACAAGGTAAATGTTTATAAGCGGCTGATCAGCTAAAATGACGACAGGACTTATTTCAGTACATATATTCCTACGCTCACAGCTGCTGGATCTATCTATCTATCTATATATATACATATATTCATACAAGCACCTGATGCCATCACAGGGGGTTAACAATATGTTTGTCATCAGTTGGAAGCTGTGACATGATTTTACAGCTTTCATATTTTTTCTTCGTATTTTTCATAATGATTTCATGATTGGTTCTGGGCCCTGATGAAAAAGTTTCGGTTCGGGCACTCAGTTCCACAATTTCACGTAGAATCAGCTCGAAGTTATCTAAAATAGTATACGTTACTTTGAATGATGGTCGTTAAATGTTTGTTTCTCTGCGAGTCGGTTGGAATTTGTCTTCACCATCAAATGACCCATACAGATTCGAAAAATACCTTTGGACAAACATTGTCGACTTAAATTATACACGTATATTATTAATTTTATTGTTCTTGCTATTGCTTAACACATGAACCTCATTACACTTACCACACTGAAGTCTGTTGCAGCATAAGGTATGATTGATCAAAACATATACAGACTGTAAGACATTTATGTTTTCAATGCAAAAGGCTCTCATTCCATTCAGGGACGATGAATTGTCTCTGATCCTCTCATTTGTTGTTCTGTATTACCAAAATGGGCAGGTTATGTAACTTTAGCAACGTGTGATGGAACTCGTGATCATTTCAGTTATTGTTATTGTGTAAGTTTTTTACCCCAGGCTCAATCCATTCGCTGGCCTTCTTCTTATAGTTGAACTATTGCTGTGTGTGGCCTTAATCAACATACAAATGTAATTTTTTTCTTTATAAAATTATAATTACCTTCATTCGAAATATTGGATCAGGCAAAATTAGATCGTTCATACTACCCATATCTTTCTTTTGCTGCATGGGTATTTTGTTAGATGAGCATCAGCGAATGTTTGTACTTCCTACAAATGAAATGAAAGGGCACATACCCAATTGCACTTTGCCATGTCATTGCAAATGGACGCGATCAGCGGATTCTTGTATGTTTGTAATAATCGAGTCTGGATAAGTCAATCCAGTGACTGACACAATGCGGATCGATCTACGCATTGGGATACGACGACAAGGACCATCCACGTCTTCGAGGCTGATCGCCCGATCTCGTTAGTCGCCTCTTACTACAAGCATGGGTTGACTCTGGCATTTCTTGGACTAATGGAAATTTGTACATAGGCCTTGGCTATGATTTATCACAAGCGGTTTTCAGTTGCAGCGTTCTTTCCCTTTATATATTTAGCATTGTATCAATTAATTAAACATAGGAGTAGTACATTGGTGCATTACTGGGAATATTTTACACATGGAACAGTTTAACGGGTCAGCCTTAAGAGCCTCTGTCAAAAGGGTCCGTTTTAGGGCATCAATATTGGTAATCCGATCTCGGTTGCTGTAAATAACGTGCGATCTTCTAATAGGTTTATGCATGATTTAACCTGATGAGAACAATATTGGATGGAAATTTGAATAACGTTCGCGATGTTTTAGTGTTTCAGTAGTTCAGAACAAACTATATGTTATTGCAGTGTATTTCAGGTAAGAGCAAGATTTCAAACTATATTTCTAAGAGAGCAAATTATAAAGAACTGACCGTGTGTTTTTTTATTTGATCTGTGTTTAAAATTATTCTGCAATCTGTGGAGCCGTAAACTGAACATAAAATAACGCATTTCAAGTAATTAGAGTTTTATACAGAAAACCACCAAAACATAGGTAGGTTACAGGTGGATAAGTGGCATATAATTACCTGTTCAGTGTGTCACTGTTCTAACCTCATGCTACAAAAAGTTGAATTTGCATTTATTTGTTAATGAATATAATTTCTACAAAAAACATATATACACCAATTATTTTTATTCCATTGGCTTTGGACAACACATATGCTGTGGTGCGGACATTCTGGATTGGGGTGGCCCCGAAGGGTTGGAACGCGCTGCCATCAGTTATTCGAGACGAATATTTCCCACATGGTCCGTGTAACAATTAGGGTTTTAATCTTTTAACGAGGCAATGGTCTTCATCATATTTTGTTTCATATATCTTTCGTTCTTTTTCCTTTTATCGCCATTGTCAACACCGTTATGTGTCTTGAAAGTTATTGAAAGAGAGTATGGATGCGCCGTCTTGATTGAGAGGAATGACCAAACATGAACGAGGTTAACAAGGACCACTGAGAGAGAATTAGTTGAAGACTACCATGCCCATCAGCCCCTTTGACGTAACCAACGACGCGTACTTTATTCCTTTGGTCTTACAGGCCTTAATTAGAGAAACCTCCCCTAAGACCGAGACCAACTTGAAAAGAATCTAGCTGTCAAATCGTAGGCAGTTGTAGGATGCGTGGTATTGCATCGCATTCATGCTGACATGCGACTTGTCTCAGTAAATTCCTCTCAATGCACACCCTCTTCTCACCGAATGAAGGTGACCTTATCTACACGTTGTATTCCTGCTCTTGTCCAATACGCTTGTGCCGTTAGATGGTAGTTCAGGATGGTTTAGAAGACTAAACACAATAGAGAGGTTTAAAAAGACATCAGCAGAGCAGTTTATTGTAAGTAGGTTGAAATAAGTTAAAATGGGACAAGTAATAGCAGTAATGGGATTGGACTCACACTCACGGAACTATGGGGTCAACGTTCTTGGTGTACCACTCACACACAGGAAGTCAAACGGCGATTCCCAATCGTAAACGTAGTCATTGCTGAAGCATTGGCTGAAACACCAACTAGCCGTACATTACGTCCGTTTCTGCCATCCGACCTTCTTGTACTCTGACTGACCATATCAGTCATGTATTTGAAATTACAGATGTTACACTATGTATTGCAAGGTCATTGACCCATGTGGAAGAAGAGACGAAAAGAGGCATTTATTGACATTTAGAGATCGCTCAGGGGATCCTGCCCGGAGGGGGGTTTATTAATTGGCGGCTTTCATCGGATGTATTGCTACATTAAACGAACAAAGGAATTTCGGTGGACTTTGGACACATTGAAAGTTTTTGATGAATGCTGTTTAAATGTTTTGCACCCAAACACTAGTTCTTGTGCTGTTCAACGCTGTTGTCAGCAATACTCCTGCTTTATCAAAATGGCAATCTCTGACAAACAAATGACATCGTAACTTATAAAGAATTGTGTTTTGTTCCAGAACTTTGGTGACGAGGACGACACAACCGTAAGCATGTTCCATTACATCAACCGGAAAGCCCTGGCTTCATTCGAGCTCATCTTCTGTATCTCTGGCCTCGTGACAAACTTCGCAGTCATCGTCGGCATCCTGCTGGAGCCCAAATTGCGACGCTCCTCCAAACACTTTATCATAGTCAATATCTGCATTGTTTGCCTGATCCAGATTGGAGTGCTCGGCACAACCAACACATACAGCTCCATCACGAACCATCACATAGTTGGACCTGAAAACTGTTTCTCAATCGTATTAGAATCCATCGGTTACTTTAACGTGTCAGTGGTGTTAATGTTAGTAACTGCACTGTGTATTGACGCATACCTAGACATGCTCCTCCCCCACACAACGGGAAAGAAGATCAGAGTGTGTGTGGCTACAGAGTTGATCCTCTGTAGCTGGTTCGGGAGTGCCATCCTCATCGTCCCCCTCGTGGTGTACGGAAAGACCCAACCCACCAGCTGTGACTTCAACCTGAAGGAGAACTACCGTACCATGCTTGGCCTCCTCCATTACCTGCCCCAGGCGGTCATCGTATTCTTCCTCGGCATGCTGCTCTTACTCTGCACCATTATCAAACGTGGTAGGGATTCTCTTACACAACGACCTAACGAGTTCCCGATCGATATCTTGGTGGCGTGTCTCATTGTCATCACTCTCAATCTCCCCTTCTCGGTGTTCTCTACGGCCTTCAACTACTGCTCCAAGGACGACAACGACGCTTGTGCGTCCATGTACACGTTCTGGGCTGTGTCCTCCAGGCTTAGTTTCTCCACGTTTGTAGTGCTTCCGTATGTATGGATGCTCAGCAAGGCCATCAGACAAAGCCTACACCGTGTTTTGTGCTGCTGTTCCAAACAACCCAACGTCAACAGAAACAGCTACGTCAGCGTTTACACCGACAACGACCTAAGGCTGTAGCTGCAATGGCTTACGTTAAACAAATGACACACTGTGATTGACCATACCTTACACAAGGTAGTATTAAAATGCAATGATTGTTGTTGTTCTCACAACTCCATAGTTTACTGTTCCAAAGGGACCTGACAAAGATCACCCTTCAGTAAGGCGATGGCTTGCACTGACTGCACAATCTTTTAGATGGCAATAGGGACACCCATTGTCATATTGTTGTGATCAGAGTTCCGCAATGTACAAATTACCTCCTCCCTATTTCGTAATACCTGCATTGCTTACCTGACATGATATGTTTTAGAACGTGCAGGACAATATATTCAAACAATAGGCGTTACTCACGACCTTCGGATCCTGTCACGGGGACTCCATACAGCAAATGGATGCGCAGTAGACCAAAAGGCAACCTTAACCCTCATATGTATAACTGTTTGTAAATATCTTGTCTGGACCAGACATTACATAGATGTTCATCAAGAGCAAAGATCCACGTAATTGGGATACGGTGCCATGCATCAACTAAGTCAGCAATCCTGACCACTCTTTCCTGTTCATTGCCTCTCAAAGCAAGCATGGGTTGCTGAACAACATTTGTATTCCCGTATCTGCACGGGATCACATGCCTGAAACGACACCGGTCGGGAGCGAAGTGAATATATAAACAACAGGGTAAATATATTGTACAGATTTTGCTATTTGTATCCATTGATCTTAACGTTCAGTGTGTTTACCCGATGTGTACTTTGAAATATTCGTATTGATCAAATGTTACTGTATCTTATAGCAATCGTTTTTATGCCATCGAATTTGTACATATTGTCATCAACTATTACCAGTCGGTCTTCAGGTGACCCAGGTCATCGGGTCTGTTTAACACTAAAGAAGCATTCCATTAGTTCCATCTGCTACCATAGATGCCGTCTCAGTTGTGATAAACAGGGACACGTTTCCAATCCGATCTAAGCGTTAAGATAATCGTAACTGTTAGAGGTGAGGTGAGGTGAGGTGAAATTGGGTTTAACGTCGTGCTTGAGAATATTTCGCTCATATGACGACGTGCATGCGTGTGTATGTGTATGTGCGGCTGCTTGTACTAGCCCACACTGAAGCTGGTTTTATAGTGCTAGCCCACTGAGATACCATGCCGCAGTGAAGCATGAATACCCCACTCAGACACAGTATACTGACTCCGAGCCGACCAGTCCTTGTTGTACCTATTAATGCCGAGCGCCAGGCAGGGACCAACAAGTACCATATTTTAACGTCTTTTGGTATGACGCGGTCGGGGATGGAACCCGCGACCTTCCGCTCTCCGGGCGGAGGCTCTTACCACTACACATCGTCGACAGGTTTTAATCTTCAAAATATGTTCACTTTTTATTGTATAAATTGTTTTCGTCACGATATGGCTGCGATATTGCCGATGTGCCGTTAAACATTAACTCACTCACTCACTCACTCTAACCACTACACCACGGAGGCGGTCCCGTAACTATTAGACGTTAACATAGGCTTACGATAGTCGTATCGCCAACATCGCTTTGTCGAACGGGGCCCAGTACTGTAGATTGTCAGTCTGCATCTAATGGCTTTTGTAGTGAAGTTGAAACAATTTGAATATGAAAATGGACTGATTGGAAATTCCGATCTTTATTGTCCTGTGTCATCAGCATTGTGCCACATCAATCTAACGTAAACGAATATCTTTCTTTGCCTTTTGTATATACTTCATTGTATCTTTGCTGCATTTAATACTGAACTGAACCTTAAAAGTATGAGAGTGTTGCTTGTTCATGGAACCTTTGTGTACACTCTACCTTCACGAAACCGTAACGAGTGTTGAATGAGTACACGCAATAAGTAAAGCGTAAAACCGATGGCCATCATACAGGGATTTTGGGACACGCACAATGTGCCGACGGCACAACTGATCCGCAGTCCCCACAGACACATATGTCAGCAAAAGACCAGATTCATTTAGCAGCCAGGCATTCCTTAAGCTGAAGATACCGTTTGCGGTATAATCTATTATGACTTGTTTTTTATGGATGTCCTAACCATTAGGAGAATATGGAAAAAGATTCCAATTTAAAGTATATTTACTAATGCCAAGACTGATCATCACGCTCATGAATTCTGTTCCCCTGTCTGCCTACGACAGTTGGCAAATCCTCAATCACCAGAAGTTGTTTGTTCAAATAACTTTCAAAGATTCACTTGTACTGCAAGCACGTTCCCATGTGGCTGCTATAAAAGGTTTAACATTCCAGCCATAACAATTACGAATATGAAATTAAATTTTGTTCCCAAACCTACAGGCAATATGTTCTTGCAAAAACATTTATTAAAAGATTCTATTATAATAGTCATTATTATTGATATTATTAGGTTTTGAGAAAATATCCGTAAACTAATTAATAACGTAGAGGCGTTATTGGACGTGAGCGTGGAAAATTGCAATATATGAACACAGTAGAGCGTAAACACAAGGGAAACCCTACAATCGGATCATTAATGAATTCTTTCCACGCAGTGACAATTTCAAATATTCAATAAATGCTCATCTGAAAAAACGTACTTGCATCATGGTTGTTCGTGACGTCAGCTTCATGTTTTCACCAATCAGGTGGAATCGGAACACAGTTCCATCGAGGAAACATTGTACTACCCTCGGCTTAGGTTGGTTGGTTTGTTGTTTAACACCGCACCTCGCTATATGGCGGCGGTCTGTGAATAATCGAGTCTGGACCAGGCAAACCAGTGATCAACTGCATGAGCATCGTTCTATGTAATTGGGATACGATGACATGTGCCCACCACGCCAGTGAGCCTGACCACCCGATCGAGTTAGTCGCTTCTTACAATTCTAACCCGGATCTTCACGGGTCTGTCTCATCGTAGCTCAGTAGTTCTGTCAGGTAATGTCGTAACTGCGTTCAGATGTCAGTGGACCCTACAACAGTTACCTTATCGTAGGCTCATCCCATATTGGGAAACCGCTTGACGGTGATTCGCCTTGGTCATTTGGAACTCTGCACCATTCTACTCGTAGTAAAGTTATTATTTTCAATTGTTCGAACCTGTCCTCATCTTGATCAACATGTCCTAATACATAGTTATGACTAGTTAAAAAGTACATCTGACCATGAACTCATGTGTGTCGTAATCGGAAAAAAACATCGGACATCACTCATCAATTATGACTTTACTAATCTTCTTAACGTTAGCTTAATATTTTCTGTCTATCAGGACTAATGTGTTCTGCTCTTACCAACTAATTAAATGGCAACGATCACGCGAAACAATCAGCAATTACACATATATCTATCGATTTTTCTTGAGACATACTGCCCCCATTACTTTCCACAAACACCAGTGAAATTGAAGCAATCATGAGAAATCTAAATAATGAATTTGTTGTAATTTTCTAATGTTGTGGGTATACATTTCTACCTTATAACAGTAAATTGAGGAACCTCTACATCTGATATTGATCTTAGCACAGTTCCGTACTGCTCTATACATCACGAAACGTTGTACTGACCTTTGGCATGGCGTTTGAACACGCGACGTCTGAGTGCTGATGGCTCTCGCTTACTGATACGACTTCTGATATAATCACGCTTAACCTTTGATGCAACTACTGCTGACCTATTCGACATTCATGAAAAGGATGTAAAACGTTATTTACGAGTCTACTTTCCTACAAATGTACCGTTGTCTATCTTAAATGAACACAATGCAGGAATATAATAAATAATAATGGCTGTTTGTAAAACGCCTGTTTCCACACGCTTGTGTATGCTCAATGAGGTTACACGGGAACACGACACAATATCCATATACAATTCCCTGTTTAATAATACAAATATTGGCATTTTTAGTTAATATGTATTTGGTGGGAGTACTGACTGACTGACTGACTTTGGTTTTAGGCCGCTTTTAGCAATATTCCAGCAACATCACGGCGGGGGACACCAGAAATGGGCTTCACACATTGTACCCATGTGGGGATTCGAACCCGGGTCTTCGGCGTGACGAGCCAACGCTTTAAACACTAGGCTACCCCACCGCCCCTTGGTGGGAGTAACCAGATGAGGCTGATATTTCCAGCAAACAAGAATGTGATAAATAGTAGTTAACTTAAAGGTCCCAATTTCAGAAACAAGTATATCGAAAGACTTCTCGGGATCATTTTTTTTAGAGATACAAACAGTTTTCAACAGTACAAGTAAAATCCTTCAGTACATTTCATTCGCAGAGAAATATACTTGTACATTTAAATTTGAAAAATGTAACAGTGGAATAAAGGCAACATCAATAATGACCCATTTCATGGATGGACAATATATACATGTGGTGGTGTTAAGCCACCATTCGACTAAAAGCCATGTTCTCCCTTTTGAAAGTCACACGGACAAAGAGGTGCCCAAATGCATTTCTATTTGCAGTGTTTAGAATGAAACCAGACCTGGATGTTTAACAAGAATAATTGTGTGACAATGTCGCCAGCTACGGTACGAGGCAACCAAAGGGTTGACGCCAACTTCCATAGTTTTGTCGATTGCTGAATGATGTCTACTGGCAATATGGACATCACGCACTGAGAGCTTTACAAATGCTGCTGTGTTTGATGGAATGTTTCCTGAAACTGTTTCGGCTCTTTGTTTGTGCTGATCATGAACAGAATATATGTGACAGTATATTTTCGAAAACTAGATGTTCTTGTTACAAAACTTCGGCATTGTTTGATTTGATGGACCATTGCTGTCCCTCAATTTCTGAACAGTGTTTACTCACATAAGGCTTAATTCCACGTCGTCTAACTGGAATGTTTTCTGAAATGTCTATGGGACATGTGTGTCACTGAACTCATGGGTAACTTAATAGAAAATACGAGCATTTTTGTCTATTTAAATAATTACCTTTCACACGTTTCACACGTTACCGCAATAATGAGAGCAGACATTTGTTCGAAGAGAAATTGAACAGAAATTACTTTCATTTTTAATTCATTTTAAATGCATAAACTATGTTTGAAAGATAACCTCAATAAGAAGAGGATGACAGTGTATACGTGTTGGATCATCACAAGCGGAATGCCGATTGACCTGATGCGACTGGTGCTAATGGGTGAGTCATCGTGTTGTTGTCACAACATGGTTTAAGATGGATAACCAGAAACGAAATCGTTCAAAATTGTGTTTAACACGCCAGTGTTGGTTGCATGTGTTAGAAAACTACAAGTTCACTA